ATTTGGTTGTTTCTATTTCTAATGAATATGTCTAAGAATGGCAGTTCATTAAAATTATATTCTTGGGTGAATTTGATCTTTGGGTGTAAGTTTTGGAGTAGATTGTGAAATTGGTTAATATCACCCCACAAAGATTTCCAGAAAATAAAGCAATCGTCAAGTATCGCCTCCAAGATTTAGTGAAGTGGGTTTTTATATTTTCCCTATATATTTGCTCTATCTTTTCATAGAGGTTTATATTTTCTACCATGTTAACATTACTATTATTAGCCTTTTTATAGTTCTTAGTTAATTTTTTTTAATGAGTTTGTTCTAGCCATTTGCAGCTAATTTTTAAAAAGTTTTGTCTTATCAGATCTTACTAAGACCTTCAGCAAAATTTTTAATAAAAATACCTTAAAAATAAGTTACAGTTGTACTGAGAACATAAAAAGGATTATCAAGAAACATAATACCAAAATCATGAATAAATACTTATACCAAAACCAAAGAAATATAGATCCTGAAATAAGAATAAACAAAAATAAAGAAAAGTTATGTAACTGTAAAAATTCTGAAAACTGTCCCCTGAATAATAAATGTTGTATAAAATCTGTAGTTTATCAATGCAATATCTCATCTATTGAGAATCCTAATGTTGTTAGAGTCTGTGTAGGATGTACAAAAAATGAATTTAAATTAAGGTGGAACCAACACCAAAGTTACTTCAATAATACTAAATATTGCAACCAGACATCCTTATCTAAATATTTCTGGCATTAAAAAGAAACCAATAAAATACAAAAAGTAAAATGGAAATTAATAAAAGAAACAAGAACATGTAGATCTTTAAAAGATCCATGTCCTTTGAGCATACATGAAAAGTTAAATATTATTAAGTTTCTGAAAAATAAAAATTTATTAAATCAAAGAAATGAAATAGCGTTTTTTTTGTAGACATTGCCAAGTAATAGATAATTTTATAAAATGAAACTAATATATTTATATTTGATCATAAATAAAATAGCTTATGAATGCATAATTAGATTCAAATATATTAATTTTAACATTACCATATATGCACTCAATTAGTAAATATATTAAATATATCTTATGTCGGTATGAATAAAAATAAAAAAACAAAAATATAAATATTAAAAATGTGACTAAGTAGTATTTGGAATTTATATAAAAATAAAAATTAAATAAAAAATAAAAATGCCAAATGTATTGCTATTGAAACCCAGATGATGTGTTGGAACATAGACACTACCACAAATTTCTACTTGAAAAAAGGAAGCTTGTGTCAATAGACAGATACCCCAGCCCCGACATTGACTTGACCAACTTGATAGCTACAATACATTAGATACATGAGTTTTCTAAATAAGTTAAATCTTAACACCCCCAAAATAAAAAAAAAGGAATTTTCCTTAACCCCAACATCTGAAAATATCAAATTTGTCTGGACTTATAAATTAAGTAAATTAATTCTTAAAAGCCATTCTTAGAATCACTTGAAAATGGAACGGAACTTTGTATTTTAAGTTTAAATTTTATTATTGAATTTGAATTGAAGTTTCAGTTTTGAAACATGGGAATTTCAGTGTTGTGATGATAATACATTTTTAAAAAAACAATTATAATATTATGCTCTACTGTTGTATTGAGCACTGTTTTTTAAAAATAAAATAAATGCCAAGAAGTCTGAATTATAAATCTCATTATTCTTTCCTGTTATTTATATATATATGCATATATATATGCATATATATATATATATCCAGATGAGAGAAAGAACAGATGGAATAAAATTCTACTGTTTACTATATATATATGAATTCTGCTGCAATAGAATTAGAATTAAAACTGTCTCCTGTTCCTACAATAAATGCTTTCCTGCTTATTGGAAATCCTCTTCTGCAGTTCCTGTCTTTAAGAAAGGCAGATCATCTGATCCTTTTAACTATTGGCCTATTAGCCATCTACCACTTTTTGCCAAAGTACAATAGGCTCTAATCAAATCTGAACTGATTAAGCATCTCACCTTGCAGGATCTTCTTTCAGATCAGCAATATGGCTTTCACTTCTCCAGTTCAATTGCCGATATGCCAACAATTATTGCTGAAATAGTCTATCATGGTAGATAAGATTGGTGAAGCTTGGGCTGTTGCTTTGGATATCTCAAAAGCAATTGACAGGGTTTGGCATATTGGGCTTTTTCCCAAATTGAAAGGCAATGGTATTTCTGGAAGAATTTTTGAACTGATCCAGTCTTTCTTATCAGATCTCATTATTATCCTCTCTTTTTAGTAGAAGCTTTTCTCATATTCTCTTAGTGCACAGTAAATTCTTGCATAAAATCTAAGTTCCACTCAAGCAGCTTCTTCCCACAAACCACTGCACTGTGAAGCTGAATCCCAAGAGGATGCTTCCCCGATAACTACAATCTTCACTTGTTCAAGTCTAGGATTAAACATTATTTCCATCACATATCCATATATACTCTGACTTTTACTTTATAAATCTCTACCTTGAGTGACTCACGGGCCTTGTGCAGGGTGACCATCAGTGTAAAAAGAAAGATATATATATATATATATATATATATATATATATATATTTGTGTGTGAGTGTGTATGTCCATTGGCACAGCAATTATTATTTGTGCCATTTTGATTAAAACCATTATAAGTTCTTCATTGATTATATAAATAAGTAAATTAAGAGATATAAACCATGACAGTATATTGGTTTTTAATCAAATATATATACCTCTTTTTCTCTTTATATCTATATATGACATTTATACCTCTTTTTCTCTTTATATGTATATATGACATTTATACCTCTTTTTCTCTTTATATGTATATATGACATTTATACCTCTTTTTCTCTTTATATGTATATATGGCATTTATAGCTCTCTTTCTTTTTATATGTATATATGACATTTATAGCTCTTTTTCTCTTTATATGTATATATGACATTTATAGCTCTTTTTCTCTTTCTATGCATATATGACATTTATAGCTCTCTTTCTCTTTCTATGTATATATGACATTTATAGCTCTTTTTCTCTTTATATGTATATATGACATTTATAGCTCTTTTTCTCTTTATATGTATATATGACATTTATAGCTCTTTTTCTCTTTATATGTATATATGACATTTAGAGCTCTCTTTCTTTTTATATATATATATAGAAAGATATAAAAAAAATTCTCTTTATACATATATGAAATTTATAAAAGTTTTCTCTTTCTATATATATATGAATTTATAGCTATTTTTTCTTTATATGTATATATGACATTTATAGCTCTTTTCTATGTATATATGACATTTATAGCTCTCTTTCTCTTTATATGTATATATGATATTTATACCTCTTTTTCTCTTTATATGTATATATGGCATTTATACCTCTCTTTCTCTTTCTATGTATATATGACATTTATAGCTCTCTTTCTCTTTATATGTATATATGACATTTATAGCTCTCGTTCTCTTTATATGTATATATGACACTTATTGCTCTCTTTCTCTTTATATGTATATAGGACTTTTTATAACTCTCTCTCTCTCTCTCTCTCTCTCTCTCTCTCTCTATATATATATATATATATATATATATATATATACACACATTTATGATTCTTCCGCTATATATATATGCATGTGTATAGCCACACACTGTCCTCATACTTATCTGTAATTATACATATCTATCTTTTACATTTTCTTGACTATATTCATCTTGGCAGCAATTTTACTGTGTTTATATATCTATATCTATACCTATATATATTGCCAAATGTGTGAACCAATCCCAAGCTGACGGTGAAGACCAAGATGGCAGTGTACAATGCCTGCGTTATCAGCACACAGCAATATGGCAGTGAGCCTTAGACTCTGTATGCCAAGCAAGAAAGGCCTCTGCACACCTTTCATATGAGAAGCATTCGCCACATCCTGTCTTGAGAAGGTCTGCCCATCATGTTCACACTGCTCAGACAGTGCAGACTCCATTGGTTGGGCTACGTCCACTTCTCCTGTATGGAGAGCTGGCCTCGAGAAGAAGACTCACCAGTCCCTCAATGTTGTGAGGCACGTCATGAAAGCTGTGGACATCAACACAAAGTCCTGGGAGATCCTGGCAGCCATACGATTCGAATGGAGACAAAGCCTGACCAAACACCTCAAGTCAGGGGTGGAGAAGTTGACACAAGTTGTCATGAAAAGGCGGGCCTGCAGAAAGCAAATTGACAGCTCCAACAGACCAGAGACAGAACACACATATGACCTCTGCAACAGAGATTGTCACTCCTGCATCAGCCTCTACAGTCACAGGTATCAATACTCCAGCCAAGTAGACAACTAGAATGCTACCCATAATCAACCCTGACCAACGGAGGCCTACTACGACTTGCCAAATTTCCAAATCTGTCTTTCTCAAGGAATTCATCTTTTACTTTTCATGTTTCTTTGTCTTGAAATATTGTCATCTTTTTAAGGAATTACTAGATTTTTTGGATTGTTTAATCTGACTTTATTTCTTATTCATCATCGTCTCTTCATATCTAATTGCTTTTTTTGGGGGGGCTGTTTTTTATCCATATCAATTTCTTTCTTAACATCTCATTTTCTCAGATCCTACAAATACTGTTGTCTACCTACCTCAGAACATCTTCATATAATCAATCCATGCTTATCTAGCTATCTACGTTTGGCCATAAATGTAGGTATTTGCATATACTTATTATGAAGTAATTCATTTCGCCATCTTCTGGAATGTAAAGCTTTCCTTTTACTTCTGACAATTTATCAAATCATGCACACGCATAGATTCTTCATTTATCTATGTCCTTTCCCTGAATCTTTTACATGTGTGTCCGCAAGGTGTAAACAAATGTAAATTAATTTCCTTTAGTGTCACTTGTAGTCTTTATCTATATTTCTATTTATCTGTCAAGTGTCTGTTGTCATGCATACCATTGTAATATTAGATGGACTTATGCTTAATACAAATATAGATAGCTCTCTTTCTCTTTGCCATTTTTCATCATTTTCTCTCTTCATCTTCTTTTGTCTTGGTAAGCAATGCAATTTTTGCCTCGTTCTTCCTGAGGTAACATGAATAGTCCACTTTCAGTTTTTTTTTTTATTTTGCTTCTTTGATTTGTTTGCTCTTTCTTTCATTCAAATTTCTTCTTATAATTCAAATCTTTTCCTACTTTCATTGTGTATTCATTCTTTTATTTTTTTTTTTTCAGATATCTTTCATTCATTTTTCCTTCCTTTTTCTTTTTTATTCATTCCTTTTTCAATGTTTTTTTTTTCTTTAAATATGTTATCTCATTCTGTTTTTGATTCTCTTTTTCCTCTCTTATAAAAAAATCTTCTTAAGTATTTGTTCATACTTCATATTTTTATTATTTATCTTTTGTACATTCTTTTTACTTTTCTTTTCTTCCATATTTTCTATTACTATCATTATTTCTTCTTCTTCTTCCTTACTTTTCATTCCTTATTCTTCTTATCGTTCATTCATTAATTTTCATTTTTAACTGACATTCATTACTTTTCATTCTTCATTTTTCTTTCTTTTCTTTCATTTTTTATTTTTCTTTCTTTCATTCTTTATTTTCTCTTCTTTTTATTCATTATTTTTCTTTCTTTTCTTTCATTCTTTCTTTTCTTTTTTCTTTCGATCTTCATTCTTTATTCTTCATTTTTCTTTTCTTTCATTCTTTATTTTTCTTTATTTTTTCATTCTTTATTCTTCATTTTTCTTTCTTTTTTTGCTTTCATTCTTTATTTTTCTCTCTTTTCATTTCATTTATTTTACTTTCTTTATTTTTATTTCTTTTATTTGATTCTTCATTTTTCTTTCTGTTTATCTCATTTTTTCTTTTAGATCTTGTTTCTTCATTTCATTTTTATTCAAACTTTTCCTTTTTATATTTTCTTCCATTTTTATTTTTGCACTTCTTTTTCTATTTCTTTGTCTTTCTTTCTCAGTTTTTTTTTATTCAATTATTTGTTTTCATAGCTTTCCTTTTATTTTTTCCTTCAATTTATTCATTTTTCTTTTTCTTTCTTCATTTGTGCCCTTCATTCATGATAGTCATTGTCCCTTTTTGTAGCTTCTATTCTTTCTGTCTTGTCTTTTTTTTCTCTTTTTCCTTCTGTCTTTCCTCCTCACTTCAGCATTCATTCACTCCTTTCTATTCTTATTCTTCTTTATGTGTCATGTCTCCTCATGATGTAGGCGATCACGGCTCTCCTCAACTTCCTATCCATTGTGATCTTAATAAATTTTGTCTTCTTATTTACATTATTCGGACTATTGTCCTCATCTTTGTCACCATATTTATTACAACGTTTCAGCCGTTGTACACACTGGCTTTCTTCAGGTGGTTGGAATGTCGAACTGAACCCTTTATTTTGCTCACTGGGGTAGACTGTTCTAGTTCCACGTGCCATGTTTAATGGATGTCAGTTATCAGTTATCTCCTGTTAATTTCCCTCTCCAAGTTCTCCACTGCCTTAAGAGTGTGAATTCAATACCCAGTTATGGCAGTGGAGTACTTTCAGAGGGAAATTAACAGGAGATAACTGATAACTGACATCCATTAAACATGGCACATGGCATGTAAGGGGACTATACCTTTTCAACTTCAAAAAATATAATAATTTAACTTTTTATACCAAATGGACTTTTATTTTTTTATGCTAGGTAAAAAATTAATCAACTTTTAAAAATCAAAAAATGGATTAATTGTTAATTGTTTAACTTAAATTAAAAACAACTTCAAAATGAGAAATAATCAATTTCAGATTGGATTAATCAACTTCAAATTGAGAATTAATATAATACTAATAAATTTAATATTTATTTCATTTTATTTTTTACTTAAAAGGGATATAAAAATATAAATGTTCCTAAGAAATTTATTTAAAAAATTACATCATCTAATAGTTAATTACAGAGGGAAAATAATCTCTGTATTCCAGATACAAATTTAGTGCAAGTCTCAGGGAAAGATATTATTAATTGCCTCAAAGATCATCACTTGGTTTCTAACTTGCTGAGGCTCTAAATTAAAAACTTTAGTAGTTAAAGAATTTGGCCATCACCTCTTAAAACCCCAACAATTGAGTCTGCCAAAAAAAACTTTTTTTATGTCTGCTTTAATTTGTGACTGACCAAACCTTTTCAATCGGATTTAACATCAGACTATAGGGGTGTAAGTCTGAAAATTTGGTGTTGCCTAAATTCATCCTCCTCCACAACTGGACAATCTTAAAGATGAAAAGATGAAGAAGATGGCAATGATGCTGAGAATACCATGGACTGCGTTATCAATAACAAAGACAACTCCCTTTTCATAAATTTCATTTGCCTTTCTAAGGCACAGATCCTGGTCCATTCTTTCTAGCATCTCTTTTTTGAAAGAACCTCTGTCTAATTTCTGACATCCAATAACATGGATGTTATTTCCCCTTTGGATCTGGCTTCACTGTTGTACACCTTGTGCCTTTTTAGAGCAACCTCCTCTTCTTGAAATAAAATGATTAAAATTGGTTTCATCCATAAAAAATCAATTGGCACACTTTGGGACTGAAATTCTAATAAATTGAGAAAATGTCAAAAACCTAAAACAATCAACTTCAAAATAAGAATAAACAATCCTTGGTTTAAACAACTTCATTTGACATTATTTTTTGCAAATTGAAAATTATTTTTCAATTAATTCAAAATGAACCACTTTTATAAAGATGAAGGCCAAAATGGAGTCCAAGTGCTTTCTTATGCATTCTTTGATTGATTGATGCTGAGAAACCTTTACAAAAGAAGGCTGAAGAAGAATTTTCAATCAAATTATTTAAGAAAACTGTCTTGAAGAGGACCCTAGGAGAGTTTTCAATTAATTCAGCCATAAAATTCCTATGCTGACTTAGAGCAATTTTATAATTTTGCTCCTCTCCTAGAGTCATTGAAACTCTTATCAGCACCCTGGTCTAACCAACGGTAAAAAGTATGTTGGCAGAGGCACCCTCCATTGTTCTTGTCAGGTCTTTTGAACCAATTTCCTGTCAATAAGGCGGCATGTGCAGCTAAAATTTCAGGCTTTTTTTTCGCCATCCACAGCTTTCTTGAGGTAAGTCCTCTTTGAGCTGTTGCTAATTCTTCTTCAGCTTCTTTTTGGATGTAGAGGTTTCTCCAGCATCATCATCAATCATCATTTTTTATCCATACGGGACTTTCCTCCTCCTACTTTTACTGTAGGCTCACCCAATGCTTTCTTGGCCTCTAAGTTGTTAAAGGATTTTGGTTTTTTTCTTCATCTATATAATGAAGTCAATTTCCTTACTCATGGGGTAAATTAATTTGAAAAATAATTTTCAATTTATCAAAAAATATCTCAATTTGAAGTTGTTTATTCCAATTTGAAGTTGTTTATTCTTATTTTGAAGTTGATTGTTTTTTTATATTTTTGACATTTTCTCAATTTGAAGTTGATTGATCCATTTTGAAGTTGATTGTTCCATTTGAAGTTGATTGATCCAATTTGAAGTTGATTTATCCATTTTGGAGTTGATTAATTTTTTTACTTGAAAATAAGTCCATTTTGAAGTTGATTATTATCATTTTGAAGTTGAAAAGGTATAGAACAATCTACCCCAGTGAGCGAAATAAAGGGTTCAGTTCGACATTCTAACCACCTGAAGAAGGCCGGAGCGTACAACAGCTGAAACGTAATAAATATGGCGCACAAAGATAAGGATAATAGTTCGAATAATGTAAATAATGTCCATAATACCTCATCTCAGAAATATAGACAGATTTTGTCTTTTTGTTATATTTCCTAAACCCTGTTCCGCCATCGAACTTTCTAGGTAGGTTATGCGTTATTTTCCTTTGCACTCTTGCCTTCAATCTGTCCTGTGAGTATCAGATTTCCCAAGCCCACTTTTCTTCATTATGTGCCCAAGAAATTTCAACTGTCTCTTCTTGATGTTAAGTAAAAGGTTCCTTTTTGTTTCCCCTTTCTCTAAAACTTTGTTGGTGCTCACATGATTCAGTCCATGGTATTCTCAGCATCATTCAAGTCTCTTCTTCATCTTTTCATCTTTAAGAATATTGTCCATCACTCGCTGCCATATAGGAGGACAGCTTAATAGTCTTTTCCTTGTTTCTAGCAAAGTTTTTTTATTTCTTAGTACACTGCTTAGCTTTTGGCTATCCCAATACACCTTTGAATTTCAGTGTCACATTTTCCATTTTTTGTTAAAAGACTGCAAGTGTTTGCCTGTTCATTCTCTATTCACAGCCATTTTATGTACAATTCACAAAGTTAAGATGCAGACTTACTATGAACAAAGTTGTTTTTTTTTGGTAACCTGTCGACTCTCATATTGTGTTGTAAGGTTTCTATGACAATTAATTTTTCAAATTTGCTCTCTATGTCCAACTAGTTTTTAATTTAGAGTTTCAGCTAAAGCGAGAGAAACCAACCTGTCTTGCAATTAACTCCAAGCTTGTAATGAGAAGAAACTGCTACATATCTTTCCAAGGGTATTTGGTTGAAAGTGAATGCAATGAATGAAATTTGAACTCAGCACACCAGTTTCATTTTCTCTGCTGATAACCACTATGCTATGTGCATGTCAACTGTTTTAAGGATAGTTTAAGATAAGAACTAATTTTCTTCCTCATAGACCAAAGGAGAGGGATATCATCAAAATGGTGTCTTTAAAAAAACAATAATTGTCTGGAAGCTATATTGCTAATTAAACATTTTATAAAATGAAGATGTGAAAACATTTATACACTTTTATTTCTATGCATAATATGATCCATATATTTGTGCATTTTTTTGTCTGTAACTTTTTTGTTGTGTTAAAGTTATTTTCCTTGCACTGTCAACACTGGTGGTTTGTTTATCTGTGTTGTAGGAATGGTAGTCTGCTTCAAGAGATTTAAAAAGTAAACAATTAACAAGATATCAATTTCATACATGACATCATTTTTGATTAAACTAGTATAAAATAAATATTTGATTAAACTGTTACAAAATAAATATTTGATTAAACTAGCATAAAATAAATATTTGGTTAAACTAGTATAAAATAGATATTTGGTTAAAGTGGTATAAAATAAATCATTGGTTAAACTAGCATAAATAAATATTTGGTTAAAATAGTATAAAATAAATACCTTCTTTGTGATAGAAAAGTATTAACCTAATTCCCTTGCTTTTTTTCTTTCTTGTTGTCTCAATTCTCTTTGTCTTACAAATTGCCATTGTCTAACATTGGCACTGCAAAATGCAAAGTTGACAGATTGCAGTAATAATGATGTAAACATTGTTCACTAGTTTCAATGATGTCATGGATACATTTCAGTCAAAATCTTGATTTCAATTTCCCCTGCAGATTGGCATCTATTCTCTGTCCATTCACATCTGTATCTATCAGTCTTTGTGTGGTGCTTTCTATCGCAGTCATTCAGTGCTGATACAAAATCAGGTCCATGAAATGGGAGAAACAAAGATTTGTGTAGAAAGATGCTGAGTTTCTGCCTTGAAGCTCAATGGGTTCAATCCCACTTAACAGAAAATTAGGTTTCTTTTGTTGTTTAGCAAATAATTCTTCTTTTTGTATTTCACTTCAGAGATAAGTAATTATCTATATATTTTTATTATTTCAAACTATTGTTCTCATCTTGATTGATAGAGATCTTATTATAGACACACATTTTGACAAAGTACCCTCTGGTCATCATGAGGTGTCTATTGATTCGCTTTATATGGGATATCTGTTGATTATTGCAATATTTTATATTGATATTTTATATATTTTTATATTGACAATTACTCATCTTGGAAATCACATACTACTACTTCTAGATGCTGTATCCCTTTAGGATGTCGTCAATCATGGCTCTCCACAACATTCTATCCTATATATCTCTTTGTAAAGTTTACTTTTCCCCATACCCCCCTGCTCCCAGTCCTGCCATTCAGGGTGCTAACTTCTTTCTTCAGTCCATCAATATGTCCCGTGAGTGTCAAATTCTCCGCGCTCTTTTTCTCAGATGTCCTAGAAACTTCAACTCTTTCTTTCTGATTTTAAGTATAAGTGTCCATTTTGCTTCCATTTTCCTTAAAATTTCCTCATTACTCACATATTCAGACCATAGTATTCTCAGCATCCTTCTGTAGAACCACATTTCTGTTGCTTCACATCTCTTCTTCATCTGTGAGGAAAAGGTCCAGCATTCACTGCCATATAGGAGGACTGATATTACATAACAGTTCAGTACTCATTTCTTAGAGTAAATTAAGTTTTATGAATATAGATAATGACAGTAAAATGGTCAGTGCATAGTGGAACAATGGCAATGGCAAGGATCTCCTATATACCATATCCCTTCAGGATGTGGGCGATTATGACTCTCGGCAATTTCTTATACTTTATAGCACGTAGTAAAGTTTGTCCTTTCACCATCCTTCCTTCTACCTGTTCTGCCATCCACAAGCATGTTCAGTATGATACTCACTGTTTCCCTCTGTCCATCTGGCCTTCAATATAACCTGTGAGTGTTAAATTCACCAAGCCCTCTTTTCTCATTATGTGTCCTAGAAATTTCAAGTTTCTCTTTTTGATTCTAAATATAAGCATCCTTTTTATTTCCATTTTTCTTAAAATTTCTGTGTTACTCACATGTTCAGTCCCATGGTATTCTCAGCATCCTTCTGTAGAACTACAATTCTTTTTCCCCAAGTCGTCTTCATCCATGAAGTGATTGTCTAGCATTCACTGCTATATAGAGGAACTGATATTACATAACAATTCAGCACTCATTTCTTTGTTTCCTGTTTCTTAATACTTTGATTAGCTTTTGGAAAGCATCTTTCACTATCCTGGTGTGCCTCCATGTTTTGGTATTAACATTTTTATAGTCCTTTTTTGTTTTCAGGTCTTTCTCAAAATTGTTTTATGAGCAAATTATATTCAATACAATAAATGTGAATAAAAACAAGCCATGAAACTCCTAGAAACGAATTCTAAATCTTAATAATAATAATAAAAAAAAGTATCTGTAGGTTAAAACCAATCAAAATGATAAGCCTAAGCTTTTTTCATTGTGAAATATCAAATCTATTTGGATTTTGAGGTTTGCTACTATTGTATTGTGTTGTTCTATGACACGTGATCAGTAGTCAACTTTTTTATTGTCCCTTAGTTTACTCTGCACTTTATATGCCTTCTACTTAACATATGCAAATAGGTACAATTCTATTTACTAATTCACTACACCTCCCTGAACCAAAAAATGTGTTCATGCCTTTGGTTATTCTTAAACTTCTTCTACAACCTCTTTCCTCCTCATCTCCCTTGAGATTTATGTCCTGTTCTTTTTAATGGAGATCTTGGTCTCATTTCATCTTCTTCATTCTTTGAGTGACTCCTGCTATCATCCATAGGCCCGTCTTCTATTGCATTGTCCTGATCTGAAGAACTCACTTTTTCTTTTCTAATTGTTTGGTGTTGCCATAATAAAAATTTTCATTATAGCTTCCCAACCTGCTGAAGCTAGAAATTCACCACCCACAATACGACAAGCGCTTTTGACTCTGGAAAGTAAGGATTGTGTAGCTCCAGCCCAGAGATAACAGCAATGCTCTATTTTTAGTCTAATCTGACATTTGTAAAGGTAGAACGTGGCAGAAGGAGTCAGGTACTTACTGGAATGAGACAAGGAAGCAATCATTTTCCCAGCATATGAGAGAATTGGTCATATGTTTTCATCAGTCTGTACAATGATAACATGACAAAATAATATAGATGGATGGATAAATTATTACATACCCCAATCAATATATATATATCTTCTTCTATGTGCCATGTCCCTTCAGGACATGGACAATCTTGGTTCTCCAGAATTTCCTATCCTGTGTATCCCTAAGCAGTTTTTCTTCCTTTACTAAGCCTCTCACCATCCATTCATGCAAGCTCATCAGATAGATGCTGGCTTGCTGTCCTCCCTTGCCTTTCTTACCCTCAATATGCCACATGAGGGTTAAGTTTTCCAAGCCTTCCTTCCTCATTATGTGTCCAAGAAATGTCAGCTGACTCTTTCTGATTTTGAGGATAAGGGTTCTTTCTGTTGCCATTTTCTTTAAGAATTGCTTAATTGCTAAGTCCATGGAATTCTCAGTATCCTTCTGTAGAACCACATTTTTGCTGCTTCTAGTTTTTTCCTCATCTTTACAGAAATTGTCCCACATTCACTGCCATATACTTTTTTCTTTGTTTCTAATGAAATTTTTCTGTTTCTCAGCATTTGGAAGGCATCTTTCCCTCGTGAAATGTGCATTTGGATTTCAATGTCACATTTTACTGGTTTCAAAATAATGAGTATATCAACTGTACACAGACCCCATATTAATGCACAGTATATCCTGCTTGGCCATTAACACAAACCTGTCACAAGCATATGATTGGATGGAAAATGTTTTGACAAACCAGATACTTTCGTTCTACCAGTGCAGACAGTTCCAGATAAGATGTGCCATGCCATGTATACAAGATCAAACCATCCTTATTACCTTCGTATTCAGTTGTTAAGAAGGAAGTTTCATTTGGGTAGATTCTTCCTAAGAGCTGTTGCTTTGGGGAACAAAAACCTGAGAGTATGCTTCTCTGATCATTACAATCTTAATCTCTTCAAATCTAGGATCAACCATTATCTATCCTACATATCCTCCTAATCTGCACTTCTTATATGCTCCCTTCCTGTCATAAAACAACATTGTATTGTGTGAACAATGGCACAAAAAAAACAAAAAAAACATCTGCATAGATGCTCCCCTTGATCACTACAATTTTAACCTTATCAAATTTCACGGTAAAAGCCATCAAATTCAGGCTAAAAGCCATCATACATCATGTGATGGATAAATTGTTGACATTTTATATTTTTAATTTTATGCATGTGTCATTTGTTTTTGGTTTTGTCAACTGCACAGTATAGGAGGGTCAGTTGGGCACCATTTGTGAGAAAAAAATCACCATGATGCAATTCACTCTGCCATAAATTTGTAAGCATCATGCTGTACTGCTTGGCATTCACACTGGAAGTTCCAATACAAACATTTCAGAGTGTTTTGGTGTCAATCTGAGGACAGTGCAGAGTATTTGGAAAGGATTGGAGAGTCTAATGGTGATTACAAATGTACAGTAGCTCACTCTGATTGTTCTGATAAGAAAAGAACTCCCAAATTTGTTGCTGAGGGCCTCAGACTCAACACAGAGGCCTACATCAAATGACTTGAGAAGGTAGTGCTGCCTTGAGTCAAGAGGGCGGCTGCTGGAAAATCCTATGTGTGTCAACAGAGCCCTGCACCATGACACACAAGGAAGAGAACCCAATCATGGCTGTCAGACAATTTCTGCAACCACATTAGCCTTACATCTGGCCGGCTAACTCCCCAGACTGCAACCTCCTTTATTATTATGTGGGAGGTGCAGTTGAGTGATAGGCCAACAAAACTCCTTATAACACCAAAGATGAATTGAAGGCAAGGATGATGGCTGCATTCACCAACTTAAACAAGGAGACCATCTGGAAGCTGTGGTTGAAGCTAATGTCGATTTTATTGAAGAAATTTACTCTTTATTATTTCAAGATATTTTTATGCAATTTTGGTAAATATATCTGTTAAAATGAGATATCAGTGTTATTTTAATTTTTGCATAATTTAGATGAAAATTTATCCATCGCACCCTGTATATTCTCTCTATCCTCATAATCTTCATTTCCATTCATGTCATACACCTCATTCATCTTGACAATTTTAACAGTAGCCATCGACAAGGATGTTACGAGTTGCATTGGACATCACCTGAAAGAAACACCCAATAAAAAACGCCAGTATGGACACCTTCTTTCTATCTCAGTTTCGCTAAGAGAGAAGGCTTCGGCTAGCTGGTCACTCCTGGAGAAGTAAGTCAGAACTTGTGAGTGACACCCTCCTATGTAAGCCATTGCATAGCAAAAAGATCAGTTGGAAGACCATCACACTTACATTGACCAACATGTAGATGACTATGTGGATGCTATTTGGAGGACCTGCCAATGACGATGTCTGACAGAGATGGTCGGAAGGAATGTGTCAGGAGAATCTGAAAAGACCTGATGATGATGATCTACACTGAATGACCCTTGAGAATTGTGCATTAATGAGGATTCTAATGCTACCTCAAGTATTTTTGAATGCCATGGCTCCTTTGATTATAACACATGGTTTGAGCAACACATGAAACATGGCATCCCATGGCCTAGGCCAGATAATGTAACAAAAAAGATTATTGACTTCAGCATCTCAAACTCTTGGATTAAGCAGTTTATGACAGATGTTAGATTATACAACTCCTACTTTGAATTTAAACATAGACAACTTGTAACTAAACTGACAACACAAAATAGCTAAACATCCAAGCCTTTGAAAA